CCAGGGATAACATCCTTGTTAATGGCAGTATATGGAAATGAGAGAGAACAGACCTGATTACCCACCCAACAGTCCTAATGTCTCTCTGCAAGTGTGTATACACACAGTCACACCCTTACCTTTCTCTAAAAGTGCAAAGTTTCAAGAGGTTAAATGAATAGAGTATATCCAACAAGAATGAACTTTTTGTAGAAAACAATGATTAAATAAATCAAAGCTTCCCTGCCCAGTGATTTTAAATCATGATTTGAATCAAATGCACCCTGTTAGATCTCTTTCCAGTCTTCCTTTCTGCTGCAGAGCAGCTCACAAAGTCTCTAATTAGTTAATTTAAAGCTGTCTCAGGATCTCCATTTCACCCTCACCGGCCTCTTACCTCCTTTTTCAAGCTGATTATTTCAAGGACAGTGCAATGTTCCTCCTGTCTTTCTACAGCTCTGTCCAACATTTTTTATTCCTCTACTATTTCCTTATTAGAAAATACATTCCCCTGCCACAAAGACACACTTCTGCCTCTGCACTTACTTTGGATTATCGTAACTCCTTCAGCTACATTAACAAATAACAAGACTACCTCTCTGAATCTAAATCTTACCACTCAGTACATCTCTCTATTATCTTTATACGAAGGTCTCCCTATATCTTAACCCAGCCCAGTCCTTACTGACCCCTTTGCCAGGAATCAAATTCAAGTTTCCCATCTTCACATTTAAGGCCCTTCAGAACTGCATCTTTTTTATCTATCTACATCAGCTATTACGATCTCAATTAAAACAGCTTTAATAAAGATAACCCTTAATCCCACAACGTATTCTTATTTTCTTCCCATTGGCCCTGAAGCAGAGGCCCTTCTCTGAATTAATGTAACAAATTATTTCTCTCTCCTGCAAATCCCATGAAGGCCCAATTCTAATGAATATCTACAAGAAACAACAAAACCAAAACAAATTACTTGGCGGGTGGCCAGTAGGTATCACAGGTGTCTATTTTGCTGCTTGATCATTTAAAAAAAAGTCAATAGAGTGAAGCCAGGAACTGACATTACCTACATCCTTCTTCGTTTACTACAACTACCTTTGTCTCATTTCCTGCTTAGACCTTGCAGCTGCACCACACTGGAGGATCAGGGGTTAGGCTAATGGTTCTCGTTCCAAATCTTATCTTCTTTATATTGGTATAACTGCTTGCACAACAAAGCATTATCCTGATTTTGAATTTCTGGAACTGTCAGCAACAGATTTTAGTCAGTTTAAACCATGCTTCACACCCTTAAATATAAATACACCCTATATAGCTAAGCAAATGAATGACTACAGAGTTAAATAAGATACAATGTGCACTTCGCATTTTTCCGTATTTGAATAATAAGTCATACTATAATTTAAATAAGTTCATGTAAATTTTTCTCCTATAGGTGAAGGCTTCACGATTTACCAAGTCCTTTTCTGCAATAGCCTTCTGTTTGAGATGCTGCTGTTCAATTTGCTGCTTTTCTTCTTGTGTTAATTCATGCTTTTTGACAACTTCTTCATGTTCTGTTTGTTTTGAATAGTCTTTTGACATTACAGCCTGCAATGGAGAACATTAGCAATATCACTCAACTGAAATACCCGTTTCCTCCTCTCCTGCCCCGAGTTTTCTTTGATTAGAATAAATCATGGCTTCTCTGCTGATGTCTAAGTGATGCATTCTTTTATTTCACTTTACTTTTTTAATATAAGCCTCTTAGTTATTGTTTGAATGCATATAATGAAATTTTTCTGTTAAAATGATTTTAAAAAAGGCTCTGAAGCTCTTTATGAACACTTTCTCTGTGCAACACATTAGGTTTTATTAATATCTTGTCTGTCTGTGTGTGTATATGTATGTTATATAAACATATAACTTAGTTATCAGTATAGTAAATTCTAATTCTGATGTGCCAGTTTCTAAAGCACAATGCTAGCTACTACCAGTGGTACCTGTACAACAAAAAGACTTAATATCAGAAACTTACAGACTTCATTATGTAGTTTATAGTAATGGGGATTGGTTTTGAAAGTAACTTTCAAATGCTTCCAAAATTATACCTAAAGAGGTGGTACACTGCAGTGATCCTGTAGCCATGATGGACCAGGAAATACCAGTATATGAGGGAAAAACTTTTTGGGGGTGATGGCTTTTATTGAACCATCTATGTAGCCTGGAGAGACATTATACATGCTTTCGGGTACAAAGTTTCCTGAGAAATCTCTCTCAACTATGCAATAAAAGATCCGCCAAAAGTCTGGGGCACATGACTTCTGAAGAGAGGCTGAGGGAACTGGATTTATTTAGTTTGGACAAGAGAAGACGGGTGGGGACATTTAATAATAGTCTTCAACTACCTGAAGGGTGGTTCCAAAGAGGATGGAGCTAGATTGTTCTCAGTGGTAGCAGATGACAGAACAAGGAGCAATGGTCTCAAGTTGCAGCAGAGGAAGTTAGGTTCGTTATTAGAAAGAACTCTCTCAATAGGAGGGGGGTAAAGCGCTGAAACAGGCTACTCAGACGTTGTGGAATCTACATCCTTGGAGGTTTCTAAGACCCAGCTAGACAAAGCCTTGGCTGGGATGATTTAGCTGCGGATAGTCCTTCTTTTGGTGGGGGTGGACTAGACGAGCTCCTGAGGTCCCTTTGAACACTATTTTATATGACTAACTGCTTGCCTCTCACTAAAGAGAGAGAGATTTCAGGCATGTGTTGTCTCTATTACACTAAGTGTGTGAAGATGCCATGGATGTTTGACCTTCTGCAGTATTTAAGCCCCCTATTCACACTGAATGATGGCATCTCTGAATCCTACCTGTAAGCAGAGTTGTAAGGATTATATGAGCTAGTACTACTCTGTAGCCAAGAGAACATATACATCTCTTCCTTACATAATGAGACATACCATGTCCTCTATTTACATGCATAGTTTTAGAAATGAAAAAGGCTATACACTTACCTGGAGCATTCATTTATCCAAACTCAGTGTAAACTGTTTTTAATAATAAATGGTCAGTCAGTGCTGTGATATTAGCAGTCCTGAAACTGACTTACTCCTTTCATTTTTAAGGATTCCAATAGCAACCCTGGACAGTGATTTATTAGACATTTCGAAAGTGAGAGGGAGCTACTCAGTCTAGGGACACAGCACTGACTGTGGTGTAAGCAGTGCTCATTAGGGACACAGAACGCTTGGTGCTATGCTATCAGCAGTCACATAACTGCCTAGCTCTCTCGCTTTTAAGCTGGGGCTGCTATTAGAGGTCTTGAAAGTCAGGGGATGTGACCCTTAGGAATGTGATTTCCTCCTGTCATTTTCAAAGCTTCTCATAGAAGCCCATTGACAAAAGCTTATTTTTCATTGTTTCTGGAGCAAGTAAATCATCAACAATTAAATTACAGAATAGACAGAAGGGATGAAAGATGCCACGCACTTAACCAATATGCAAGTAACCATATTTATGAGAATATACCATTCCAATCCACATTTGTTTGTTGTGTGTTATGAAATTATGCATTTATCCACTGTATGTGTATATATTATGCATCAGAGTACCCGTATATGCAATTTTCTCTCTGCTATATGTTTTAGTTTAACATATGTTTATTAGACTATGTGAGTAACCGCCATTATTTCTTACCTGATCTATTTTTCTCAGTTCATTTTTTGCTTCAAAGTTATTTGGATCCAATTCTAAAACCTTTTGATAATCTAAAACCAGAAGACAGGGAGACATCAAAATTCCATATTTTTATATACCATATCAGGTGACAAGTTTTAAGTTAATGTGCCTTTAACTGGGAAGTTGAAGTGGAGATGGCAGATCCAAATAAGTTCAGTAGTTCCAAGTACTTTATATTTTAAATAACTTAGAATAGTAAGCTCAATATAGTGCACTAAAGGTTCGATTCTGGTTTCCCAGATCACAGTCATTTGACAGATAGTTCTTCTATCAGCATGTAAAATAATACCATCTGGATGTCATTTTCATCATTTCTTGAAACTGGAAGTTAAAAATTCAGCAAGTATAAAATCAGGAAGTATAAAAATAAATCCTCAAAAAAATAAGCTTTAATCAGTAAGCACATAAATCACTTACTTGCACTTTAAGGAATGTATCCAAAAAAACTCACTAACCTTCTTTGGCACCCTGAAGATTTTTCAAAGCAAAGCGAGCAGCTCCTCTTCTGGCATATGCCTTTGTATAATTCTTATCTAGTGCAAGTGCTAAATTGCAGTCAGATTCAGCAACAGAATACCTGTGTCAATAATGTAAATCAATTACTTTGAATATATTTAAATTAAAAATAAATATGGCTCTCCATTAAATTAACAGATTTAATCAAATCATGAAGCACACTACACTGTTCATTAGAGATGCACTGATATATCGGTCACATATCTGATCAGCACCAATGAAAGGAAAATTAACATAATAACTTTTTTTTGGCTGATGCAGCCAATTACTGTATTTTCGTGCATATAGCCCGCACACTGATATAACCCACACCAATGTATAACCCACAGAAAATTGTATTTTCGTAAAATAGTCTGTGTATAGACTGCACCCATGTATTCCATGCACCTGATAGTGCGGGCTCTGCTGGGCACGGCCACCAGAGCTAATTGGTGCTAATTGCTACAGGGGAGGGGAGGGATGAGGAGCTGTGAGCCCTGCTCCCAGCCACGCTCAAGTGCGGGCTCTGCTGGGCACGGCCGCCGGACCTGGAGCCAGCTAAAAGTGGTGCAGGAGAGGGGACAGGAGGGATGAGGAGCTGCGAGCAAGGGGGGGGGCAGCCCCGCTCGCCGCCGCTACGCTCAATCCCTCCAGGGATGGGCTATGTTGTTCTAAAGACTCTGCATAGCCCATACCCTTGTATAGCCTGCACCCATCTGTTAAGTTTGTAAAAACGTGTATAGCCTGTGGACTATATGTGCAAAAATACGGTAATGGCACTGATAAATGCTGTGTGCATGTTCAAAGCTGCACGCATGCATGTGGGTAGGAATGCAGCCTGCTAGCTTGGAAAACAGCGTCCTACCGCTAAGTCTATGAGGGGAATCAAGGCCCTTATGGTGAGGGAGGGAACGGGGCAGGAGCTGCCCAGCCAAGGCTGTGAATGGGACCCCAAGGCAGGGTACAGGACAGAGCTATGGGTGGTTCATCAGGGAGCAAAGTAGGGTGGGGCAGCTCCCCACTGCTGCACAAATCCATAGGGGAGGCATGGGGGGGAATGTGCCTCCCTCCCCTGGATTTCTGTGTGGGGCAGAGGCAGTGCCAGCCTCTTCCCAGCAGGAGGATAGGCCAGGGGAGGCAGGGGTAGGGCTGGCTCAGCTAAGCGGGGCGAGTGGTGGTGGCACTGGAAGGGGTGGCTGTGGGAGGCCTATGGGGAATTCTGGGGTTGATACAGGACCCCCCCCCAACCTTCCCCAATGCCAATCCTGCTTGGGGCACTCCATTCTGCTGCCTTTCCCCCAGGAGTCTTATTTCAGCCATGTGCCCCCTGCCAGACCCACAACGGGAGACTCCTGAGGTAAAGGCAGCAAAGCCGAGTGTGTGCCCCGAACAGAGGTGGCACTGTGGGGGAGGGTTGGGAGGCTATAGCTATTCTAAAATTCTCCGCAGGGCCCCCACCATGTAGCCATGCCTCCCAGGGCCAGCCACCCACCCCACGCAGCTGAGCCTGCCATACCCCTGCCTGCCCTGAGCCCAGCCCCCATGCCAGGAAGAGGCTGGCACTGCCCCTGGCCCTGAGCTCACAACAAACAGCCCACCTCTGACCTGTGCACAAATGCAGGGGGCACATACCCTCACCCCATACCTCCTCCAGAAGTGTGTGCAGCAGCGTGGAACCATCCGCACCCCGCTCCCTGGTTATGAGCTGCCCACAACTCCATCCCATGCCCTGCCCAGGGTCCCATTCACCCCCCTGACTGGGCAGCACCTGTCCCTGCCCCTGCCCCTCTCCTTCCCTCACTGTGGACCTCAAGCTGCCCCAACCCTTCCCTCCCCCTCACCCCTACCCCCCAGACTTACCAGCAGGACGCGACTCTCCAGGCTGCCCAGCTGCATTCCTGTATATCGGCTATTGGATCGGTATCGGCCAATATGGCTGGTTAATAAATTGGCTATTGGTATAGACCAAGAAAATCTTTATTGGTATACCCCTACTGTTTATTTATGAGGAACCAGTGTCATTAACTCAAGATAAAGTTGCAAAGCAGGCTGATGTAAAATAAACAGACCCATGGGTCTTAGAATGAATAATCCCATAACTAAAATCTGAAGGAAAATTTTGTTAAAAAAATTAGAGAGATATATTCACAACATAGATCTTACTTTTTCATTCTAAAGAAAGATGATGCTCTGTTTGTGGGCAAGACTGGATTGTACGGATCAGCATGCATCCCTCGTGTGTAACATTCGATTGCTTCATCATAGTTTCCTTGTTTGAAATACTTATTGCCCTGTAAAAATATGCTTTTTGTCAATTTAGTATACTGTAATGTGACAAATACTTTCACCTCTTTACAGCATCTTTACTAATTAATTTTTGTCAAATATTTCACTGCCTATATCCAAATGCTGTCTCATCCCAACATCAGTCAGTTACCAATGCCTTAAAGTGTTCTAATTCTTCTGATGTTCTAAAATGGCTGTGACTATCCAAACAGTCTCACCCCTTTGGAGCATCCAGCTGCTTCCACTCAGTCATACAGATTCCTGAACCCTGTGCATCAAGGGAGAGGCAGACATAGCAGGCTAGTCCCATTGTAATTTGCACCCTTTCTAGTATCCTTAGTCATTCTACTCACACTAAACAGTAGATAGAAAGACTGAACTTCTTTTGCCGCTGCTAAATTTTGCTTCAAGTCCAGGGTGAAGAATATTGACAAGGCAGAAAAGGAAGGGGATGTTTTCAAGACGAATATAGGGAGGTCCAGTTTTAACAACTTAGCACCTCTAACAAAAAGATGACTTAAAATGTTGTGTGGAAAGCAAGAGGGAAAATTCTCATCTAAAATATTATAAAGCATCACTGGCCTTGAGGAAGTTTAGAACAAATCCCACCACATGTTGTAGCTCAGACTTCAGCAGGAAGAAAAGACCAGTTACTTATCCTGAAGCATAGGTGCCAATTTTTATTTTTGCGGGGGGGGGGGCAGCGGAGTCTGATGGCCCTCCTTCCCCACCCTGGCAGCAAAGCCAGACCAGAGCTCAGGTGACTGGAGCATGTGGTAGGGGTTGATACAGGCTTCCCCTGCAGCCTCAGGGCCCCCCATCCTGTTTCCTTCCCCCTGGAAGCCCTGCACAGGGGTGTTGTGCCCCCCTACTGCTGCCAGGTGGGCAAGGGGCACCTCGCCATGGCAACATAGCCAGTGTGGGGCTCCTAGGGGGCAGGGAAGCAGGGCATAGAGCTCTGAGGCCACAGCAGGCAGCCTGCACAAATCTGGGGCACATGCCCTCCCATGCCCCTCTTCCTGGGAGTGCATGCAGCAGCGGCAAGGAGCCACCCCCCCCATATGAGCCACCTGCTGCTCTGTCCTGCTCCCCGCCCTGGCCCCAGGCTCTATGAATTACCTTGGCTATGCAGTGCTTCAGATCCAGCCCCTACACCCCACTCCCTTCCTCCCTCACTGTGGGGGGGGCAGCTGGGGGAACTGCTCTCCACCATTGCCTGGGGCTTTATTACTAGCCATGTACATGTGCACATGCACATGGTGCTCCCTGCATCCTGCTCTCTGAAGCCCCTTGCAGGCTGGAACTCTGCCAGCCTCCAAGGAGAAACCCACCATTTCCTGCCTTTTTTCCACAGTGAATGGTAAACCCAGATCCCAGCACGAAATGGGGAATTTGGAACAAATGCTGTCCTGGAGTCATGCAGCCTGGGACCAGGACCTGATGTTCCCATTGTGGGATTGTACTGCCCAGTAGGGACAGGTGGTTATCCTTCCCAAGGGGGGCCAGAGTCCTTGGGCCCCCACATACTGAGAGCTTATGCCCTAAAGTAACTGTGGTTCTTCAAGAGGTGCTGTCTACAAGAGTTCTACTTGATACACATGCCCTCCATGAACACAAGATGTGACACTTTTTGGTGTCTAATATACTCTCAAACCTCATCTCTCCACCCAAGCATATTAAAGGAGAATGGGCACAACCATTTTTCATCTCCTTCACATATAGAGAATTCAGATGGTACAGGATTTTACAGTGATAGTAGGTGGCAAAACTATCCATGTTATTGACATGTAGTCTATTTCTGGTGAGCAAGCAGTAACCTCACAGTCAGGAGACAGGTGCTGGAAATTCTAACCAAGGATGGCAGGAGAGATCTGCCAAAGCAGGAATTCAGTCTTGAGCCCTCAATTAGAAACAATGATAGCTGAGTGTGGACTTTTGCCATCTTCTAAATATCTTCAGTGGGGTGTCTTTCAAAGCTTCTGTGAGTTTTCCAATAGGATAACCTACTGGTGCCACTTAAGAATTTGTTTCACCTCATAATGTGATTTACTTAAAATCCATTTAGATAGTTTTTGGATGGTTATTGCTCAACTGTTAACTTATTTGAAAGATGCTATAAACAGTCTAGGGAAGGTCCTAAAGGGACTCCCCTCCATCAAAGCCATATAAGAAAGCAGTTGCGTTAGTATATAAAGGGTATGCAGTTTGTTCTCCTTTTGATTTGATTGCAGCTTCGAAGAAAGCTGATTAGTTTTATTTAGGGGGAAGCAAAACACACTTAAGTAACAGAGTAGGTCACCTACAAGAACCTGAAATGCCACTACTCTTGAGTTATGGATATTAAAAAATATGTCTTCATGAAAAGGTGGTATAGAGAGCCAGATTCCTAAAGAGAGATCAGTCTCATGAATCCTATGAATGCTACAAAGATGTTAGAAGGAATGGGTTCCTAGACTTTCAAAAATGCATGAATGAAGTCTTTAAGGAGCATCTAGCAACTATAGAGTGGGAAAATGTCATGATCCTGAATAGGAAAATGAATAGTTATTTAGTGATAGTCCAAAAACAGGCTTCCATTGAAGACAGCAGATGAACATCTTCCAAATAAAAAGTTTCAGTTGTGCTGTACAGGAATTGTCACATTAGATAAGCTGGTTCTGCTACAGGATTCTCTTATTTCCTGTGGGTAAGGTGAACTGATATGGAACAGTAGCTATCTTACATGTTGACAAGCATGAATAAATCCAGTAAAGGAAGTATAAAAACTAAGATCATCATCCTGAATTTTAAATGACAAATGAATTTGTTGAGATGGTACCTGATTGGAGATATGAACTGACTCTTCTTTTTTCCCTTGTTGAGATTAGAAAGGCAGGGAATAAACCGGAAAAAAAAGCTTTTCCTCTGTATTTCAAGGGCCCTTTTCATGCTCTGAGATCCAGTAGGAAATCTGATTTTTGTTTTAACGGTATGTCATGAAAGAAGATTCTGAAGAAAGTGGAGAAAATAACCAAGGGACCAAAAATGACTGAAATAAATAATAAGAGTACACCTTGTTTGTAATTTTTTAAGAACAAGTAGTCCTATATCATTGACTGAAAATAGGGACTGGATCGGTGTAAAGTCAATCAAATCCCTTAGAACAAATCCCAAATTAGGGGGTGTGAATGGTATGTGGGTCTGTTTTGTGGGGGGGGGGGGG